GGGCCACGTGGACCCCGGCCCCAGTGCGGCAGCGGAGTGGGGCATGTGCCTTAGCCAGGGGAGGTCGCCTTGCTGCAGTGTGCTGGCCTCGTGGGCTGGGCCTGCTCCGAGCGGATGCTGCTCTTCCAGAGCTGGGCCGCTCCGCCGGCCACACCCCGTGTGCTGGGCCTGTGCCGCCCAGACGTGCCGCTGCGGGAGTCCCGGTCTGCCCGCAGGCTGGCTGCAGGTGCTGTGCGGGAGGGCTATCCTGCCTTGCGGCGTGTTCGAGCGGCAGCAACGGGAGCCGGGCGAGGACTGCGCCCTCCATCTTGCCTTGGGTTCTCCATTTTGGGACAGAGCCATGTGCTTCTTCCTGGAAGAAGCCGCTGCTAGCCACACCCAGGATTTCTCTGGACTAACCAATAATAATCAAGGGAAGTGCACGCCATCACTATGACCACATCCTGTACCGACTCGCGCCTGGCCAATCAGCGGGGCCCACAGTCCCCTCTCCTGCCCTCACTCCACCCCCCTATATAACCCCTTGTCCCATCAGGCCTCGGACTCTCGGCCACTGGACTTGCCGCTGTGTTAGTGGGTCTGGTGAACCAGGAGCGCAACCTGGCTTGCATTAAAAAGGACTCTTTGCTTTTGCATCGGACTGACTGGCTCCCTGGGGGTCTTGGGAACCTTGAAATCTGGGCACAACATAGATGACCAATAAATGTATGCTGAACACTGAACAAACAATTTTAAATAAGGCATATGACTTCATGGAAGTATCTAAAAATCTGAATCAAGGAAACATTTCATCCTTCTATACAGGGAGGAAGAATTGTCTTCAAACAGATTTATAGATTTAAGAATTAAAAAGCATAATTATAAGTTATTGCAACTTGAAATTATCCTAAATTCAAATGTAACTGAATTAATAAGTAAAAAATCTAAGGCTTTTTAAAATTAGAATTGTGAGGAGAGCATATACTAATATTAAAAATTCATAAAAGCTAAAACTTTATGGACCTGGCAAATAATAGATTAAAAGCTCAGTGAAACACAAAATATAGCTTTGTAATAAACCTTTATACTTAAGAATTCAATGAATAAGAAAGGACATAAGTTATTAAAGAGAAAGAGAAGCACTAGTCAATAAATAATGCTTAGATCATAGGTTAAGTACCTGTAATTTTCATTTGTATCTTTATCTCACACATATCTGATGAAGTTCCAGATGTATTAAAAAATTAAATACAAAATAAAGTAAGAAGAGCAGTACAACTAGAAAAGAATATTAACCCTATGGAATGAGAAGATATGTTTTAAACTTAGAGGTAAAAAAGTGATACCAAAGGAAGTTTGATAAATTTGTTATATTCCTTCATTACTTTTGTATATAAAACAATGAAAACATGTGTTTGCTAATATGTTCAGCATATAAAAAGAATATACATGTCTATAAAAATGACAATACTCTAATAAATAGATGCTTAGAAATGTGACTAGATAATTCACAAATTAGAAGGCAACAAGAGTAAGCATGAAAAAATATCCAATTTATAAAAGAATATCTAATGATGATTATAAAATTAACAGACTTGAATAATGATACTAAAAATAATTCCCAAGGCTGTTGATAGTATCATGAACTTGACATTATGATGCATGGTTGATGACAAAGAAAATGATAATAAAATAGTCATGAACTTTTGGTGATGTCTAGTGATTGTTTTGATGAGGAATTCCTGTTTTGGAAGTTGATGCTAAAGGAATTATTTTTGTTATGGATTGAATTGTGTCTCCCAAAATTTATATGTTGAAGGCCTAACCCCCTGGGCCTCAGAATGTGGCTTACTCAAGATGAGATCTTACTGGAGTAGCCTAGTCCCCAATCCAATATGACAGGTGTCCTTAGAAAAGAGAGAAATTTGGAGATAAATGTACACACAGAAAAATATTAGGTAAAGATTGGAATTATGCTGCCAAAAGCCAAGGAACTATCTACTGGAAGCTCTGAGAAAGCCTTGGACAGATCCTTCCCTAAAATGCTCAGAGGGAACATTTCCCTGTCAATATGCCTTGATCTGACTTCTAGACTCCAGAACTGTGAGACAATACATTTCTGTTATTCTATGTCACTCAATTTATGGTACCTTGTCACATCATTCCTAGAAAAATAATATAATTTTAAATACTGAAATAAATGCATGTGTAAAGATCTGTATTGTTTCATAATTTACAATAAAACATTGGAAAAAGGTATATGTGAACATA